AGAAAATTTGCAGAAACTTGCAAGCTGATAGAAATTTTGTTTAGATTCAAAAGTACTAAAAATAAAACTAAAAACGTAAGAAAACAAATCCCGAAATCTTATCCTAACATAGTTCACTGACTCAACAAATAATTACTTACTTCTTACAAGTTAAATAAATCGCACTTTACTATTTTAACTTCCAAACCATAAAATGTAATTTAGGGATTTGCGTAAATTCCAACCAGCTGTTTTCGATCAGCTATTTTTTTCTAGGCAAATTGCTGTTGGCAAACATTTTTCCAGCAGAAACTAGCAGCTTCCCCTCAAAATGAAATGTCACTTTGCTCTCTCAATTTATTTATTTTTTTTACTTTTTTATTTTAAAAAGCTGATAGTTTTTATAACTTTCAATAATTATCAGGTACGCGAATGCAACTAATGTGAACGGTATTCTGACTTTACGAATTTCATTGTAGAGTACAACGACTCACAGTTATACGTTGTAACAAAAATTGAAAATATACGGCACACAGCTGTTTTCGACAGCGGATATTTTATATATGGTACTTATTGCCGGAATTCAAGCAATGGCAAAGTTTTATGTTGCATTTCCAGTGCCTTATCTTCTTTTAATTCCAAAAACTTCAACTCTTCTTCGCTTTTCTTAAAAAGGAGTATTTCGGATATTGCAAATTCATTCTCAATTATGTTACATAAAAAAGGGTTTATGAAGTACGAAAACGCACATTTCAATAATTTCAAACCCGCAAACCTTTTTTAAAACTCCGCTTTTAAATCATGTGCAATATTTTTTTCTAGCCATGTAAAATGATCATGATTCACTAATACAATTATAGCTAAACGGTCGCTATTCTACACTTGTTCTAGAAAATTACGCAAACGAAGGTGATGCCCACGAATATTTAGTATGAAGAGTTTTTGGTTTTACTACTAATATCATTAGAAACTGTAGAGTAAGCAACATTCTGCACAAGTAAAGGAGCCGATTTTATGTGTGGAAGCGAGAAGACTGTTTTATTACAAAACCTTTCTATTATTGAATCATGGAAAATGATCATGATTCAATAATAGAAAGGTTTTGTAATAAAACAGTCTTCTCGCTCCCACGCATAAAATCGGCTCCTTTACTTGTGCAGAATGTTGCTCACTCTACAGTTTTTAGTTATATTAGTAGTAAAACCAAAAATTCTTCATACTAAATATTCGTTGGCATCACCTGCGTTTGCGTAATTTTCTGGAACAAGTCTAGAATAGCGACCGTTTAGCTATAAAATAACCAAAAGTGCGGATTGGTAGAACTTTTTTCGCTGATTTCAACGATAAAATTTATTTGGCGCAGGTTAAAAATAAAGAAGATATAAGAGGTTTATTTGCTTTGTTTCTTTATATTTTTTATTATCACTTAGTTCTTAAAACCCGAAAATATATTATGATGAAATATGTATATTGAATTACAGATAATAGCTTGTACTTTCTAAATAATATAAATTCACCATTATTCATGCAGTTTATTTCCAAAAAAAGGTTATTTCATGAAAAAATAGCATTTTTTCGTTTTTTAGTGGTTTTGGTTTAAATATATAAAAAACAATTTCAATTATGTGTATCAGCTGAAAGATAAATTGATTATTTTTATGGTGACGTTATTAGTTTTTTAATCGGTTATGTGGTTCACAAGATATTAATATTTTACAAAAAATCAAAAAATTAACTTTAACCTTCTAAAATGTCTTTATATTTTACTTGCGCTAAATAATTTTGGCATGGTTGAAATGAGCGTAAAAAGTTAATCTGCATTTTTCGTTTTTGCATACCTGAACGGTCGGTATTCTAGATTTGTTCCAGGAAATTACGAATAAATTAAATTAAAAATCTATATTTATACGTATTGTTTAGTATTTCCATTAAAAACCAAATATATTGCAAATTCACATCGAATTAATTATACACATTTTACTTCTAATTGTATACTTTGCGTATTGTAGTACCTTTCTACTACCGTTTTCGCAAAAGGCGATCACATTCTTCCCCTTTCTCCTACTTCCAAAATACAAATCTAGATAAAGGAGTGTCAAATTTTGGCTATCACAAATTACACAACCTTTTATTATTGAATCATGGAAAATGATGAAATATGTATTCTTTTTTTTTGAAATCATGAATAAAAAGACGTAGTTAAGCTTCAAAATTTAAAATAATTTGCGACAAATCAAAAACATTTTCATTCTTTCCTTGTTTGAATTGAAGTTTGCATATGCTCCATCATATCGGTAAAGATCATTTCATCTTTCATTCTCCAAATTGCTGGTAATGTTCGATCTCAATTTGCGTATGTGTATCTAAAAAGGATAAAATAAAAAAACAACAATGGAAAAGAATATCCAGAAAAGAAATATGTATTTTCAAAAGTAAAAAGAGCCAAAATGTTCTAAGCAAAAATAAAATAAAAAGAGCCGCACTTTGTCAAGCAAAGAGCCGCATTTGGCTCAAAGAGCCGTGATTGCCCACCGTTGGTATATAAGGAAACTTACCTAAGTTCTTTCTAATACGAAATTCATAACAGAGCAATTTTTTTTACTAAACGGATAAATAGACGAGTTTGTGGGTTGTTTTACATCAGAGGTTCCCAAACTTTTTTTTCTCGTAGACCCCTTTCAAAAATTTACTGGTTTCGGTGGACCCCCTGCTGATACATTTCTAAATATTCCCAAGGCTCGTAAAAAAATTAAATGTGAAAATTAGATCTAACAATGTAAATTTGCATCGCGGGTGAATTCAAAAACTAAACTCAGAGTGGCCAAAATAAAAGTAAAATATTTTCTTGTGTTCTATTTATAAAAATAATGTGATTACACACTTGTAGAGCTCGTAAATACATCAAAATACTCTCTCGCTCGGAGGAGTTACATTTTTTAAGAGCACTGCGGGCGCTAGCGTTATTTACATTATCTTCACCATAAACTCATCAAATGTTCGGCTCACTCATGACTTTGCACGTGGAGTATATGTAAAATAGTTTATTTGTTTTAATGGCATCATTTTTATTTTTATCGCTCCGAGTTTTAAAGTGAGGCGAAAAATATGTATCACATTTTTAAAACACAAAACTTAAAACATCAAAACGGCTAAGCTTTTTATGCCAAACTTTTAATTCTGAAACTGACAATAGAGAAAAGAACGAGTTTAAAAAAATCGATGACAAATAACCAAGCAAGCAAGAAGCACAAAAAGTGTTCCACCGTCTCATCTTCTTCAAGGCAAGATGGGCAAATGGTCTTGTCATTCACGCCTATAAGAGTCAGGTTTTTGTTCAGTGTCGTCTGCTCAATGAGAGCAAAAAATTATATAGACCTTGTAAGATTGAAGGCAACATGAGTTTTGCCCACCTGCATCCCCTCGATGCCTCTCAGTCTTTGCTGAGCGAAGTATTCACCCAGTTTCTGATGGTGGCTTCGATTGCCGAAGGTGGGAGTGCTAAAACTGGTTGCGGACCGAGGAGTGCCTGGTCTGAGCCAACTCTGGCCAAATGATCAGATGTCTCATAATCAGGTACTCCTGAGTGACCTGGCACCCAGAGTAAAGCAACCTCGTTATGTTCACCATCATATTTTAGTCGAGACTTACATTGCCGCACTAGTTTGGAAATACGTAAATAGAGGGCTGTCCAATGCCTTAAGTGTAGCTTGGTTGTCACTGCAATCACGTAAACTCCTTCCTCTCCACCTATGTTCCACCACGTAGTCCATGGCTTTGAGTATTGCAATTACCTCAGCCTGGAAGACTGAAGCATATTCCCCTACAGAAAAGTGAAGGTTATCTCCATTAACTTCGAAAAAGACCTCAGATCATGACCCAGAGTTAGTTTTGGAGCCATCAGTGAAGATTGGACAATGTGTGAGTCTGGTCTCAGCGATGGAATCAAACCAGAATTCAGTCTCAGTGAACTCAACATTATAGAACCTCTTCAAAAAGATAATGGTGGCGTAGTATCCTGTAGCATTGAAGAGACACAAGTGCTTAAATCTCTGCCGCCAGCAATTTTCGCCGTGCCCCACTTATTGTCATACCAGCATCCGGTTCTTTTTCCCCACTTATGAAAACACAAGGTGACGGTAAGAGCAGCAGTGCGTCAATAGCACTATACAACACTCAAACAAATGAAATTAATTAATTAAAGTTAAATAAAGAGGCTATCAAGCAACCATTTTGGTTCTTTACATCGAAACCAGATAAATTTTCGTGGCCCCCGTTTACAACTCATGGACCCCCATATTTTTTCACGTCACCGTGGACCCCCATCGAGTCTCCCGTGGACTCCTGGGGGTCCACCTGGACCACTTTGGGAATCACTGCTTTACATGCACCTTATGTACTGATTTGTTCCGCTTTATCCAAGTGGTACCCTGGTAAAAGCAACATAAAAAGAAATTGTAGAAAAAAGTTTTCCTTAAAAGCGGTCGCGCCTCGGCAGGCAACGGCAATCTTCCGGTTGCATTTCTGCCTTGAAAAAGCTTCTCATAAAATCCATTTGCCGATAATTAAAAAAAGTCTTAAAAGAAAAGCTTTTATTAGTCGTTGTATATTAAAAATAGAAAAATCTACCCCCGCACCATTTAACGGCAAATTTTTTGATTGAGTTAATCCTTCCAATTTAAGTAATATATGTACGTTCTAATTTAACTAAATCGGGCTATAGATACGGGTTTTCCAAAATTTCTACATAAATTTCCAGTTTCATATCTCTAGCTCATCGGGAAGTAGGTTAGAAATTGATTCAAGATTTGATTACACACAGGTGAAACTTAATAAAAGCTTGTCAAAATAGGATTAACCTCAATAATATATTTTTTTGGGGTTTCACTAAAATCTTTAAGTTCTTGGATTGTATCTCTACCAAAATCCAAGATTTTCGGATATCATTCTTATTCATATACTACACATGTGCATACATACTTATATAATATTATAATAAATCGTTTATATTTATAAAATGTCACCTTGTTTTGTTGACAACTCCCCAGCTATTTTCAGCTGCCTTTTTGTGCGTTGATTGCTGTTGGAAGAATTCAAAATTTGTGTTGGCCCAGATTTTATAAGAGGATCAATATAGACTCCATTTTCTGAATTCTGATTGAAATCGGAAGTCGTATATAAAGGTAATAAAGAAGCGTAAAGGGATTTTTTTCGCTCTTCACAAGACGTTCGCCCGCTTTTATAGCTTTCGTCTGGGATTATTCTTAAAGCTCCTTTGGATGGCCTAGAAAATTTTGATGTTAGATGTTAGACTTTTGTTTAGCATGCTATGTCTAGCCACATACCCTTCTTGAGTAGGTTCTCTTAGTAAATTATTCTCCATTCCTGTTGATTCTTCTTCTCGCCTATTTCTGCATTCTTCTGTACTGTGATGCAGCCTTTGTAAAATATTTTTTACTTTGCGACGTTCAACGGTTTCACTAAGCTCTGGACTAAGAGGCAAATATGCGGGGGGTATGTAATTTTCTGCCTTGTGATTGCAGGTAGTGGACATAGATGTATTCGTAGAAATGGATGAACTAGACTCATGTTCTGAAAAAAACTGCGAGTAAATATCAGAAGCGTCACTCAGACACCGATATAACGGCTTCGCTGCAGCTATTTGTTTGCTCGTTTTAGAACTATCCAAACTAGAACTTCGTATTTGAAGAGCCTTTTCAAGGTCGGCCAATTTTTGGCGTTCATTTAAAATTTTCAACTGTTTTACAAATGGCAATCCACTATACTCGGGCGATAAGTCGAAAACAGAGTGATACAATTTTTTACAATCCCTGGTTTTCTTTGCAGAGATTGCTCTATTGTGCTCCCGTAAGTTTTCTAAACTTTTATTGAATAGAGAATTGGGATCAAGACTTGCGGCTGTTGTGGATTTCAGGTCCCTTGTAGGGGTTGAAGAAAATGCTGGTATTTGAATCAATTTCTTCGAAGAAAAGGTTTTTACTTCTAAGTCGGAGTCTCCTGGGGAAAATTTTGCTAAATTGTTAGAGCTTGTTGACAATAAAGTAGCTAACTTTAGCTTAGACCATGGTTTAGTAGATAAATCACTATATGAGCGCTCCGATGAGGTGTATATGGACGGTTTGAATGACTTTCCTGATACCGCTTTATACGATTCATCTATATCGTCTTGGTTGCTTCGGACGTGCTTTCGCTCTCCGCGTGCATGCAACGAATCTGATTGACATACGTTTTCCACAATTAATTTGTCGTTATTTGGTTGGTGTTCCAAGGAATCTGGCTTCGCAAATCCACCAATTTGAAGCATTTGAATCTTCTGCTTCAGAGATACAGCCGGATTAGATTTCAGCTGTTTAAAGAGAGATAATAAATAATTTTTGTGCGGTTTGATCATTTAAATTTGGAGGAAATGCAGTAGCAAATTATACACAAGTAATTGGTATATAATAAAATTAAGATGCAGTAATTGTTTAGATTAGGCATTGGTTGGGTAGAATATTATTATGGTTCAAAATTCTGCGTTTGAAATTCTGTATTCAAAACTCTGTATAGCTAAGTTCCGTATTTTAATATCCTTTATGGCATGATTCGTATGGAAAAATTGGAAACTCATATAGAATTTTGTAAAACAAAATATTGGCAATACACTTATCTTCTTTATCCATAGGTTTTCCGATTTTTTAATACAGAATATCATAATGCAAATACACATGTACGGTGGCAACCATATATCACAAAATAACAACCCTGTACGAAGTGGTGTAGAAGAGTAAAAGCAACGATTGACAGATATCATCAGAAGTCGCCAGCGTTCAGCAGCAACAGTCGCTGTTTTTTCAACCCTAAATTTCTTGTAATCTAAATTTTTTAATCTTAATATTCAATTTAATTGATATCACGATGCAGAAAATGAAGGGGACGAATTTCCACACATTCGCTGACGTCACAAACTCCTTTTGTTTACATTCACTGTTGCCAACTTGGTGCTTTGTGCACTAAATTTAATGCGTATTCAAAACGTGAAAATTTTTGGGTAGTGCTTGGTGCATTTTTAGTGCTTTTGTTTTTAGTTTGAAGATACCAAATTTGTAATGCTTAAGAAAATTTATAGCAATCGTAAATGTCATAAGCATACAAAAATGGAAACAAAATCATGGCACAATGAAAATCATAAGCGAGAGAGCATATGTTTGCCAGCAGAATATGTGATAGCACCTTCAATCATGCCGAAACATTGATTTTTATTAATTTGAATCGGCATTCTTCCAAGAAAATTTTTTATGCATACATAGTCCATTAAATACACCAATAAAAATTTGGTGCTTTTTCATATTAAAAACTTGGCAACACTGCCTTTTGTTCGATTCTTCCTCTTCTTCTTCTTGAGTTCGTTTTAGCTCTCTAATTATGGTATTTGATGACGTCACGCCCAGTTGCTCTCAGCTCGATTGACGCAATCTCGTATTCTATCATTCTTGAATTGATATCTTACATATATATAAAAATAAGTGCACGTTTTGGGTGTGACCTCATTACTTGACAATATTGTGCATACTTACAAGTAAAAAAAGAGTCAGATGTTTTCCCGAAATGCCTCACAGNGGTTGTATGTAATTTTGCAGTTTTGCAGGTGGTTAACTCATTCCATCTAGGCNACGTTTTGGGTGTGACCTCATTACTTGACAATATTGTGCATACTTACAAGTAAAAAAAGAGTCAGATGTTTTCCCGAAATGCCTCACAGCTGATTCTATGTGCTACAGGGTTACACTCAATATATATAAAAAAAAAACTTTAAACGGACTCTGACAAAACTAGCAAGAAAAGTTCTATTAAGTTTAGGAGTCATTGACCAAAATGCTTTAATATATTAAACTGCTATATAAAAATAGGAATTCATTTAACTCAATGCATATTTGGCCAATTTTTAAGGTTATTTCAATAATTCTCATTTTCGTTGTTGGTGTTTCCGACAGGGTAGGAGTGTGATGTAATGTGGAACGATTTTCCGTCATCCCTTGTCAAATTTGGTTTGGAGACAAACCGGTTTCTGCGTTGCGCCATCTTCAGTGTAATTTTTCGTTCTGAATAGTTTCTGTTTGTCTGTCACTATTTATAGCCGTGTTAAATCGTCGTTGGTTCATAGTTAGGTAGGTCTCAGCGGATTATATTCTTTCGTTCAACCAGTAGTTTCAGTTCTGTGTGTACATCCTCAGGTAGAAATTAGCTGCTCACCTCTTTTTTGATTAATTGTTGCATGGATTCGCAGGTAGGTAAAAATCAGTTATTTTCTTTCTCTTTGTTTCTGTAGTTTGGACCTGCATTTCATTATTATTCGAACCACTCAGGCTACTATACGCAAAACAAAACAGAAACCCTGCAACTACCATAAACAATGAAAGTGTGAAGATTTCCCGAATTCGGAATAGGGGGCGTGGCACGACTCATACTAACTAAAATAAAAAATTAACCCAAATTGTCCCAGATTAATTTTTTTTTTAGATTTTTTTGGTTTCATCTACATATATACAGGGTAATAGTAGCGTTAAAGTAAAGGATCAAATATTACTAAAACTTTAGGAGTACAGTATAGTTGCGTTCCAGATGCTTCACGATATTCACGAAATTCACGATTTGCAGGAACAGCTGTTTTCTCCATTAATAAACCTTATGGGAGGTGGTCACCTGGAACGACTTCCTGTAAAAACCTGCAAATCGTGAAGCATCTGGAACGCAACTTATATTTTGCTTTGCTGCCTGTATGCTTAACCCAAATTGGTTCCGTGTTGCCATATGGAAACCCAAAATACTTACATCATGTTTAAGAGGGTGTAAAACAAAAATCGCTTCCTTCAAAATGCTTATACTTATGTACGTTAACTAATTGCTAAAAGGTGTATCTTTCGAAACGCTTACACTTTCGTCAGATCCTTGCTGTCTATCGAGTGTAATACAAGTGTGTCCTTGAAACAAAATAAGAAGTGGCAGAAAAACAATCAAAATGTCATATATGAAGAAGTAAGCATAAATTTATAGAAAGTGTTTTTTTATTTACAAAATGTGACAGTGATAAAAAATTAGTTAAAACATTAGTGACTCTATTGGTAACAAGTAACAATAAAAACAATCGTCCAAGCTATTTAATTCAAGTGTTTTTTAAGTCCGTTGCCATATGGCAACACGGGACGTAATGTGAACTGTTCCTCTTTTTACCAAATTTTGATATGTTCGCTAGCCAAAATTGACCCCGTGTTGCCATAGGGCAACGCAAAATACCATCATGTATGAGACGGTGTAAAATAAAAATCGGTTGTATGTAATTTTGCAGTTTTGCAGGTGGTTAACTCATTCCATCTAGGCCTGAACTGTCTAATCATATTATCGTATATTTTATTGTACAAGTGTTGAAGTGGTACACAAATGTAGTTTGTCTGTTCCAGGGCAAACTGGTGGCGTTTTTGTCAGTCTCATCTGCTATTTCATTACCCAAGATTCCCTTGTGACCGGGCACCCAATATATATGCAGGCTTCTNACGACTTCCTGTAAAAACCTGCAAATCGTGAAGCATCTGGAACGCAACTTATATTTTGCTTTGCTGCCTGTATGCTTAACCCAAATTGGTTCCGTGTTGCCANAACGACTTCCTGTAAAAACCTGCAAATCGTGAAGCATCTGGAACTCAACTTATATTTTGCTTTGCTGCCTGTATGCTTAACCCAAATTGGTTCCGTGTTGCCCTATGGAAACCCAAAATACTTACATCATGTTTAAGAGGGTGTAAAACAAAAATCGCTTCCTTCAAAATGCTTATACTTATGTACGTTAACTAATTGCTAAAAGGTGTATCTTTCGAAACGCTTACACTTTCGTCAGATCCTTGCTGTCTATCGAGTGTAATACAAGTGTGTCCTTGAAACAAAATAAGAAGTGGCAGAAAAACAATCAAAATGTCATATATGAAGAAGTAAGCATAAATTTATAGAAAGTGTTTTTTTATTTACAAAATGTGACAGTGATAAAAAATTAGTTAAAACATTAGTGACTCTATTGGTAACAAGTAACAATAAAAACAATCGTCCAAGCTATTTAATTCAAGTGTTTTTTAAGTCCGTTGCCATATGGCAACACGGGACGTAATGTGAACTGTTCCTCTTTTTACCAAATTTTGATATGTTCGCTAGCCAAAATTGACCCCGTGTTGCCATAGGGCAACGCAAAATACCATCATGTATGAGACGGTGTAAAATAAAAATCGGTTGTATGTAATTTTGCAGTTTTGCAGGTGGTTAACTCATTCCATCTAGGCCTGAACTGTCTAATCATATTATCGTATATTTTATTGTACAAGTGTTGAAGTGGTACACAAATGTAGTTTGTCTGTTCCAGGGCAAACTGGTGGCGTTTTTGTCAGTCTCATCTGCTATTTCATTACCCAAGATTCCCTTGTGACCGGGCACCCAATATATATGCAGGCTTCTATCAGCGTCTAGCTTGTCAATGGCTTCCCGGCTGCGAAGAACGTTTATGGATGAAATACTATATGGGGAAACTGCCTTAATTGCCGCCTGGTATAGGTTTAATTTTGAATTGATTGGCGATTCGGTGTAGGCTAGCTCTGCAGCTATCCTCATTGCGAAAACCTCTGCTTGAAATATGCTGCAATGGCTAGGTAGCCTTACTGCCCGCCTGACGTTCAGTTCCCGGCAGTAAATCCCGGCACCCACCCCCGTAACCATTTTAGAGCCGTCCGTGAAAATGTTTAGAGATCTATGACTAGGTTTCATTCTCTTGCGCCATCCCTACTCCTCAATCGTTGTGCAAAAAGTTCGTTTCCACTTAAAGCTAGGTGCCATGAAGTCGGTGCTGCTGTGCTTTCCGCCCCAATTAAGCTGTGCCCAAAGGTTCTGAAATTTAATTTCCCCATGGCCGTCAATCTACTTGAGGATTTCGCGGCATGGTTTTCCGAAAATTGGCCAATTGGCAGAAAGCGAGGATTTTTTAAAGAACGGCCGTTGAAGTGGACCTCAGCGCTCCCGCGAGGTACAGTGCCGCGAGGCGCTGAACCTTCTCCATGGCCCGAGGCATAAGGACTTTTTTGCGGCATTACAGCACACTATAAAGAAGTATTGGTATGAATATTGCTGTGTAGCACCAATGCATCAGGGCAGGTGGCAGACCCCCAGTAACTCCCAGCATTCCTTTACATGCATAGAGGGTGTTACTGGCCTTTTTCTCCCTTTCCTCAACATTGCACATCCACAGCAGCTTACTATCCAAGACTACTCCCAAATACTTTGTGTGGTCTTTAATTGACAGCTCGATGCTACCTAGCCCCGGAGGTCTCCACT